AACGTCTTCCGTGGCTAGCCACAGACTTCAGCTTGGTGTTTCCCTTAGGCTGAAAAACACACACCCAAGCCAGTTGCACCGAGCGGATGCTGACTGGCGGCGGGGAGGCCATGCGTGTTGGAAGAGAGCTGTGCCCGATGAGTAGCCAACTTCCTTGGAAGGCAATCTCAAGGCCTTTCTCCTGAAAAGCCTCTGGGTGGGCTTGAACCTTAAACCCTTTGGTTTGCAGTCAAGTGCATCCACTAGTCACATCCCCCACTGACTCCAAACCCATTTGCTTGTGAGGTCGTTCGATTCATAGTGATCCTCTGGGACAGGGGAAAACTGCCCTGCGGGGTTTCCTAGGTGGTAATCTTTATGGAAGTAAACTGCCACCCCTTGCTCCTGTGGCATTGTGGTGGGTTCAAACCACAGGGCTTCCAGGCAGCCAAGGGCTTACTCACCGGCCTACCAGGACTCCTTGCCACGGGCTCCGTGAGCACCCAAATTAAAATCAGTTCCGACAGGGCCTGAGCTGTGCTTTCTGCAGGAATGTGGCCCAGACTCAGGAGCAAGATGTTGGCCAGAGCATTTGAGAGACCTTAACCCTGCATTTTAAAATCTGCCTAAAAGTAATGCTACTAAAGATACCATCCCAGTAGGTGACAGAGATGGAGATAGCTCTGTGCTCATCCTCCAGCCAAAGCAGGAAGTGCTAGATGCTGGAGTCCGATGACGTGGGATTAGGTAACCATGGGCATGCGGGGAGGGATGGGACGGCTGGGTCTGCTTTAGCTCTCACACCTGCATGAGCAAGGTCTCACAGGTACATGTGCTTGAATGTGTTCTGAACTGGGGCTGGGCGAGACAAGGGCTGTGTCTGCCCTGGTCCTACCAGCACCTCCAGGGTCTGGCACAGTGCCTGAAACAGAATAGAAGCACTCCACAGATATATGTTGTGAGGCATGAAAGACAATAAATAGATGAATAAAGGGATGGATGGATGGATGGATGAATGAACAGAAGTGTTTTGAGACCTCAAAACCAAACCCAACGGACTGTCACTGAGCCGCTGCTGATTCAGAGTGACCCTAAATATTCAGGTTTTCATCTCTGTGGATCTGATGGACATAACACAGGGGGCCCAGGATGGTTTATTTTTTAAAAAGAAATGCATAATTAAATACTATGGGGTCAGTATCTTTGACACTGGGGATGGACATAGAAATCAATATGTCCTTGGCAATGAGTGATTGCAAATGTAGTAAAAAGAGTCCTGGTGCTTCTGTCTGGCAAGTGTTAGATTGATAACCACAAGGTCAGCAGTTCAAGCCCACCAGCTGCTCTCCAGGAGAAAGAAGAGGCTATCTCCTCCCATCCATATTGACAGTCTCAGAAAGTCCTACATTGGGTGGCTATGGGTCAAAAGTGACTTGACGGTGGTGGCTGGTTATAGGCAGTAAAGTCTTTTAACTGTAGTAGGTAAGCTTTGAAACACCACCGCCACTTCTAGGAATGGATGCTAATAGGTCAATATGCACACGGAGCAGGCCAAAAGTTGCTCAACACGCAGCCATGTGCAGCAGGTGAAGAACGGAAACATCCCACTGAGGGTCCATTGCGGGCCTCCCCGTCAGCGTTTCCTGGCCTTGTAATGCACGGCTCACTCCTCTTACAGCAGAGCAGGGTTGCCACGAGTGGAAATCCAATTGATGGCAGTGAGTGAGCTCTTGCGAGGGCATGGTTAGGAAAGGGGTAGCTCCAGTCCCCCTCGATTCACTGGCGCTGTTCCAAGTGCTATGCAGGTGGAATACACTACCTGGCCCTTTGACACTAGAGGGAATCTGTCTTCCGAGGTAATGGGAAGCAGCATTTGCCACCAGGCTCCTCGCCCCCATGTGTGCCCTCACGGGACTGCCGTCAGTGCAGTAGGAGCCCACAGACTACAGCAGGAACCTGACCTGTGAGGCGCATGCAAGCAGACACCCTCCAGGCGGCTCAGTGTTCACAGAAGCACCACGAAGCGCTGCCCTCGGACCCTCTTGCGTTCCCTATTAGGGCACATTAAAACCCTCTCCTCTGTTCAGTTGACAGAGGCAGGAATAAAAGAGGTCCTTTCCAATATGCAGCCCCATAAACTATGTTTGTTGCACTTACCACATAATCCTTAATCACTTCCACACTTCTATGCATAAAGAGCTTTGACTGCATTTCTGGATATTTAGCGAACGGGATCCATCGGGATCCATCAGGATCCCTCTCTCTACATTTGGGCAGACTGTGTAGGGAGGATTAGCTTCAAGGTTGATGACATGATGTGTGTGATTTCTGAATAAATTTCCTTGGAGTCATTGATCCAGTGAGTGTCAAATAAAATGTGATACCCACCAAATTCCTGTATGACCCTGACATTTTTCCAGTACTTAAAATAATTGCCCTTCTGTTTAATAACAGTATTTATAAAATTACTTTCTGATTGGCTAGGCCCATGGCACACTCGTGTCAATAATCTGCTGCAAATATACGCTTGCGGCCTTTGGCCTTGGTTTTCAAAATAATTTTCATCTTTTAAGCATGAGTCGGTGGCAGCCCTGGGAGCTAGAAGCCAAGGCTCCTGTGCTCCAACCTTCCTTTGCCGTTTGATCCCGGACACTCTGAAAGCTCACTGCAACGGGATTTGGATCTCCAGGGATTGCTGAAACACCCGAGAACGAGTTGAGATCCTGAAATAAGCAACCCACCTGAGGGGCCCAGTGCTTCCAGGAGCATCATCTTGTCCTTGGAGTGAGTTTTGTTGTCCAGTTTACTGAGGGAGAAATGGACAGCTGAAGGGTTGGGCCACTTTCTGAGACCACTGAATCGGGGAGGTCATGGTTCTAGAATCTGTCCTGTTCTCTAAAATACAACCGGATTTTGAAACTCGTGGCTGTCTTCAGCAGTAGAATTCTAACCTTCCAGGCAGGACCCAAGGAGCACTGGGTATGCACGTTTAGCAGTTTGCAACCACAGCTGTTTCGTGCAAGAATGTTGAAGCTTTCTACTCTAGAAGAGTTACAATCTCAGAACTCCACAGGGGCATTGACTTCGTGGCAGGGAGTTAATTATGCAGGACCTGCACTCGATTCTCAGTGAAATGCCCCCATGTGTAGCTCCCCCGTCTGTCCATTGAAGCTGGCATGTTGCTAGGGTGTGAAACACATTTTAGTGGCACTTCCGGACGAAGCCAGACCAGGGAGAAAGGCTCGCTAATCAACTTCTGAAAACCCGACGGATCACGGGGATCTGATCTCTAGGTATCCACAGTTGAAATATTTTATCCATCTTGCATGGCCAATTTGACAATAGTGAACACAGGCAGGGTACAAGTATTTAGCTTTCAAGTGAGAGCTCAAATGCCCAAGTAGACCTTGAGTCTACACACAAAACATTTCTAATCCCACGGAATCTGCCTAATCTGTGAGGATGCTGTGCCTTATCCAGCCAAAGAAAGGGGTGCCCACTTGCATCTCATTGAGATCTCTACATGCAGGTGAGGGTTAACCAAGACTTGTCATTTTGGAATGAGGCTGAACGAGTCCCTGGGGAGATGTGGCACATCACTGGAATTTTCCATCACGAAATTGAGGACTTGTAGCTTTGTCAACTATCTTGTGTCTTCGTTGCACATCCCAGTGGAACTTTCAGGAAGGGTTTGATTTAAAAAACAAGACAAAGACAAAAACCTCTGCCTATTGAAGTTGCTTCAGATTTATAAGAATAGAATAATCAAGAAGAAAGTGCTTAGTTTGTTTTATTATTTCCAGCAAGGTTCCTAATATTAATATTATAAAAAAGCTTTAGTTTGCTTATCAGAAGCAGAGTATGAACTGTCATAGAATATTATCAATTCATCTACGGGCCTGACTTATTAACATTTCATCGATGTCCTACTCATGCCATTTTTGTAGGCCAGGACCCCGTCCGGTGCCCAGGTTGCATTTAGTCATCAAGTTTTCTTAGTCTTCTCCAAAGAAGGGTACTTCTTAAGCCTTTCTTTTTTTCTTCTTGACCTTAACACATTTCTATAAAACTGAAAACACCTCCTGTCAGCTGCAAATGCATGGAGATTCTAAAGGTCTTTCTGAAGCTGTAGATCTTTATGGGAGCAGAGCAAGACCCTCACCTTTTTCCTTTGGGATGACTGATGGGATTGAACCTCTGACCTTGTAGTGAGCAGTCCAATCCTTACCTGATAGCTCCAGCAGAGTGACCAGGTGTTTTGTAAAATGTAGGCGTGTCTGAAGTGTTCTCATGCTTTAACGGGGGCTGTGCTTTTAGGATATTGAAAAGCAAGGATGCTACTTTGAAGGCTAAGGTGTGCCTAACCCCAGGCTTGGTATTTTCAGTTGCCTCCTATGCATGTGAAAATTGGACATCGAATAAGGAAGGCCGAAGGGGAATGGATGCACTTGAACGACGGCATTGGCGAAGAGTCCTCAAAGGACCATGGACGGCCAAAAGGACAAACAAGTCTGTCTTGAAAGAGGTCTGGCCGGAGTGCTCGTTGGAGACAAGGCGGGCAAGACTTTGTCACATGCACTTTGGACCTGTTGTCGGGAGAGACCAGGCCCAGGAGCAGGACATGGCGCTCGCTTGGTGAAGTAGGGGCAGTGACAAAGAGGAAGGCCTGGAATCAGCTGGATTGGCACCGTGCTGCAGGAACAACGAGGAGAGGCTGCGGTCTTTCCTTCTGTTGCGCACAGTGTCGCACGGGTCAGAGTGAATTCAATGGCACTTCACAACAACAGCATGCACTTTAAGTCCGGCAGCCACCCAGGTGATGTGTCCGCCTTCACCGTGCAGTGCGCCGTATTGGAGGCACTTGTAGCCGGTGGGGCTCATGCACTTTTGCCCATTCAAAGCTCCATATAGCTCAAATATAAAGTTTTTTTTTTCCTTTGGCCAAGAAAAGGTTTTTTATGGGGGAGGGAATGCTTTTAAAGGGCACCCACCTCCTTTTTTTTTAACCCTGGGCCTGTTGTGACGATCCGCCCCCAGAAGGGACAGGACAGGACACAGGAGGCCTGTCCGAGGTCCTGAGAGCACCGTTTCTCTCTCTCCTCTTTACGAAAGTCACACATGTTGTGGCAGGTGTAACCATGCCGAGCAGGGAGAGCCCCATCTCCTTTTCTTCATCATATTTTCACCC